GGCCTGCTGAGGGCTGAGAGTGACCCCCTTGTCCTCAGCCTGCTGAGGGCTCAGAGTAACCCCCTGGGCCTGGGCCTGCTGAGGAATGAGAGTGAACCCCAAGGCCTGGGCCTGCTGAGGGGTGAGAGTGATCTTCTGGTCTTTCGTCTGTTGGGGGGTGACTGTGATTCCCAGGGCCTGGGCATGCTCGGGGGTGAGAGTGATCGCCTGGTCTTCGGTATGTTGTGGGGTGACTGTTATCCCCAGGGCCTTGGTCTGCTGGGGGATAAGAATGATCCCCAGAGTCTGGGCCTGCTGCGGGGTGAGAGTGATTTCCGGGGCCTGGGCCTGCTGAGGGGTGAGTGTGATCCCCAGGGCCTGGGCCTGCTGGGGGGTAAGAGTGACTCCCTGGTCTTTGGTCTGTTGGGGGGTGAGTGTGATCCCCTGGTCCTCAGTCTGCTGGGGGGTGAGAGTGATCCCCAGGGCCTGGGCCTGTTGAGAGGTAAGAATGATCCTTTGGTCCTTGGTCTGCTGAGGGGTGAAAGTGATCCCCTGGGCCTGCTGAGAGCTGAGAGTGACCCCTTGGGCTTGCTCAGGGATTAGAGTTATTCCCTGGGGCTGGACCACAACCTGCTGAGGAGCAAGAGTGATTCTCTGGGGCTGCTGAGGAGAGACAGTGATCCCCGGGGCCTGGGCCTGCTGAGGGATGAGTGTGCTCTCCTGGGCCTGGGCCTGCTGAGGAAGGAGAGTGATTTCCTGTGACTGGGCCTCCTCAGTGGTGAGAGTGATCTCTTGTGCTTTGACCTCTCCTTGGATACTAGGGACTGCAAAGATCTTTGCCTGCTCATTTGTATGGGTTACTCTCAAACCTTGAGTTATCTTAGAGATTGGGGTGTCACCCAGTGCCCATCCTTTCTGAGAAGTTGGTGTCTGCCGAGGGGCCTCCTGAGGGGTGAGACTGACCTCCTGCGCCTGGGCCTGCTGAAGGATGAGAGTGATCCCCAGTGCCTGGGCCTGCTCAGGGGTGAGAATGACTCCCAGTGCCTGGGCCTGCTCAGGGGTGAGTGAGATGTTCTGTCCATAAGTAGTAGTGGCCCCAGATGGGAAGGACTGTGTGGAGAAGGAAGGAGTGGTTGGTTTGGGGTGCTTTCCATCAGCAGTTATCTCTAATGTCCTAAGATTCTCTTTGGACTCATTTCTCTGATATAGTTGGGATACGTCAGTCTGTGTTCCCCCTCTGGAAGACACTGTTACTGAAATCTGTGAGACTGTGTCCTGTGATTCCGATTTTCTCTCCTTAATCTTGACTTGATCCATTGCTTCTTTTTGCTTCACCCGTTCACGGTCGTCCACCTTTCTCTTTGATTTCTGCTCTTCCTCCAGTTTCTCCCAACTGCTATCTTTGTCCATATATTTCGTTTTCTTCTGGATCCGCCTCATTTGCTGCACCTTCTCCAACAACCCCCCATCTTCTTGCCTTTTTTGCTTCCATGCTTCCAGCTGCTGCTCTGACTTTTGATGCTGTTCTCCGTCTTTTTCCCTGTGCTTTTGATTTTCATCTTGCTCTGTCTGCTTTTGCGTCCTCTCCTTTTGTTCCTTCCCCAACTCCTTTTCTTGCCACTGTTTCTGTTTCTGTTGCTTTTGCTTTCCCTCCTTCATCTGGAACCATGCATCTTCCAACTCCAAATTCTTCTTCAGCATTTCGTGGCTCTTTCCCCAGAGATTCCTTTCTTCTTGCAGCTGGGATTTGAGACTTATATCAATTTTTTGTTTTTGATCCTCCTGCAAATAATCCTGCCCTTGCTTCTTCTTCTGGTCTCTCTCTCCTGTTGAGGCTACTGTAACATCTAGTTCACTTTCTATTTGAGTTAAGATCGTTTGTATTAAATTGCCAGCTACTGGATCCATGTTCTCTAATGGTGAAAGTAAGGTTCTAATTCCAGACTTTTCACTAATGGGCTTTTGAAAATGCACCTCTGGCTTCTGTGAGACTTCCTTTTTTCCCTTCATAGGCTTTTTCATCTGTTCTGGTTTTTTCATATCTTTGTACTTTTTCAAGACCTCTGTCACAGTTTCTGCCACTTTTTGAAAATATTCCTCCATTTTTGTTTTAATGACTCCCAAATTTTCAAATTCTGCTTTTTTTAATAGCTCTTTTTTGGGCACAGATTTTTTATCCAAAGGCTTTCCTATGTTGTCAATTTTCTCTGTTAGGAAAGTCATTATGGCTTTCTGAAATTCCTCTATGCTGCTCTGTTCACTTTTGCCCTCTGGACTTCTTATAACACTGGTGTACTCTGAAGCCTCTTTAAGTTTCCGAGATTGCAATTTACGAAGTTCAGGAGACTTGGCTTTCTTGGTGAGACCTGACAGGTCCTTCTCTTCAGTTTTCTCTTCTCTGCCTGTGCTTGTCCCTGGGGAGACTTGGAATTTCTTTCCTTTTATTTTCTCTTTCTCAGGGGAAGAATCAAGTTGGAATGACCTCAATGGTCCCTCTTGGCTACTCATCCCACTTTTTCTCTCTCTGTCCATTGACTCTGAAGTGAATTCCTCTTTTTTCTCTGAAGAAACTTGGCTTTTGTCACGTTGATGTTCAAGTTTGGTTGTCTTGAGCCGTTCCCACAAACTACTTGTAGTTTTGCCAGCTTCACCCTTGGTGTAAGAAGGGACATCGATAGAAAAAATTTCATCAGGAAAACTTTTACTTTTTGACTCAGGAAACTTGGATTTGTCTTCAGAATAGGATTTTGTTTCCTTTCTCTTCTTTTCCAGGGATGGAAACTCCAAGTGGTCAAATTTGGTCCCTGAGTCTTTCAGTTCACCTTTTGGTCCAAAGGTCTCATGTACATACAGGCCTCTGCTTTGCTTTTTTTTCTGTGACTGAAGTTCATCAGCTCCCTCTTTATCAAAGACATCACCTTTCTTCAGTAATATCGTGTCTTCAGTGCTGTGTTCGGTGATAGCATGGGGAGATGTTTTCTGTAAAGTAGATTGCTGTTCAGTTAAATCTGGAGCCATTTCATCTGTGGAGGAATATGGAAAGGCTGTGTCCCACTTGATAGTCCCTCTTCTTCGGGCCTCATCTATATTTTCAAGTTTTTTTACCAAATTAATTTCTATAATTTCTTTCTTGTCAGCTCTGCTGACGTCTGATCCAGATGTTATTTTGTGTTCTGTAGTACCTTTGGACTGAATAAGTTTTTCATATTTTTCTTCTGCAATTTGAAGTTTCTGCTGAAGTATTTCATTATTCTCGCTGAGATCTTTTATTATCTTCAGAACTAGGTCTTTTTCTTTTTCACCTTCCTCCTCTACATATACGTGGTCACTTTGGATGTGAACACCTTTTGCTTCATCATTTAGTATACTTATAGCTTTAGAGAGGTTTGATATTGTTGATGATATGTACTTAATAGCATTATTTTCTAATTTACTGAACATTGCAGTGCCTATGAGTTCTTGTAGCATATCATGGATTTCTGAAACCTTTATAGATGTTGCAAATTCATCACTAATCATCTGATCTGGCCGTAAAGCATGGGCTGCTGCGGGTCGCTTTAGAACTTTTTCTTTCCAAGGTTTCCATAGAGTGCCTCTAATTGCTGGGAGAAAAAAAAAATAAGATTGCATTTCTTCTTCTGTATTGTGCTCTATCTATGCTTATACCTAAGGAATTTATCCTCAATTTGTAGATAGCTATAAGATAAAGATTCACCTTTATCTTACAAAATAAATACCTTTAAAAAATTAATTCTTTTTCTGTCATCTAGAACTTTTGCTTCCAGAAGTTAGGAAATGACCTTGATTTATGTTCAGTAACAACCTTGGGATTAAGAAATGTAAATCGGAATGCAAACTAGTACAACCACTATGGAAAACTGTTTGGAGGTTCCTCAAACTGCTAAACATGGAGCTTCCCTACGACCCAGCAATCCCACTCCTAGGTATCTACCCAAAAGATACAAAAACACTGATTGAAAAAAGATACTTGTACCCCCATGTTTATTGCTGCTTTATTTACAATTAGAAAAACATGGAAGCAGCCCAAATGCCCAAAAGTAGATGACTGGATTAGAAAGATGTGGTACATATATACAATGGAATATTACTCAGCAACCAAAAAAGAGAAACACATGTCTTTTGCAGCAACTTGGATGGAGCTGGAAAAGATCATGCTTAGTGAGATAAGCCAGAAAGAGAAAGAAAAATACCGGCTGGTTTCACTCATAGCAGGAGTATAAAGGACCAGGCGAGAAAATAACAAAAATAATGAACAACCATATACCAGAGACATTCTGTGGGGGTGGAGCGGGGACTGGGATCAAAAATGGGGGAGGGGAGGGAAATGCACGGGACTATGGTGGTGGCACAGGGGTGATTTGGTGATGGGAAACCCGCGGGGATTACAATCGAGATGGAAAAAAAAATGTGCAAAATGATGTAAAAATAAACTTTGTAATAAATAAAATAAAATAAAACAAAATAAAAAAAGAAAAGAACTTTAGTGACAAAAAAAAAAGAAATGTAAATCAAAACTTTCTTTGGGCTTTGATTATGTTTGACTTACCATTTTCTTTATTAGTTTCCTGAATCTTTTTTCCTCTTTTTTCTTTTTCAGAACTAATCTTAGTTCATAAACAGGGGCCCTCTGGTGGCACAATGGGTTAAGGCACAGCACCATGAAGCTATCTGCAGCCACTGCACCACGAGTTCGATCCCAGGCCAGGGAGGTGACCCACATGGCATGGCAGACCTCTCCTGTCTTGCCCACTGTTCCCCTCAGCAGTCCATTTCAATGAATCTGCCTGTTTTGCTCCCCACTCTGTCTCTGGAGAATCCTCTCACCCCTTATACCTCCGGCCTGTGCTCCAGTCCTTGTATGCATGAATAAGTAAATCTTATTCATATAAGACAAAATATTTAAAAAGATAAAGATGATTCATCATAATCAAAGGAGGCTCATCAAGTATTAGGGAACCACAGCAAATTTAATAGTTCACTTATAAGAAATGATGGAGACCAGAGGCAGTAGGATGGCTTAACGTGATGAAAGAATAATACAGCTAACCAAGAATTTCATATCCAATAAAACTATTCTTTAAAAAATGAAGAGGGGCCCTCCCTGGTGGTGCAGCAGATTAAAGCTAAAGCCACTTCCGCATGAGTTGGATTCCACCTACCCCGGAGGTGACCGGAGGTGACCGCATGGCGCGGCAGACCTCTCCTGACCCGCCCGCTGCACCCCTCAGCGGTGTACTTCGTCGATCTGCCTGTTCTGCTCCCCACTGTGTCTATGGTGAAGCCTCTCGCCGCCCCTAAGCCTCTGGCCTGTACCCCGGTTCTGTATGCACAAATAAGTCAATCTTTAAAAAAAAAAAAAATGAAGAGGGACTTCCCTGGTCGCACAGGGGTAAAAGATAGTGCTATCAAGCTATTGTGAGCCACAGCAACATGAATTTGATCCCCTGCAATGGAGATAATTCACATGGTACAGGAGACCTCCCCTGTCTTGCCCACTGCTCTACTCCCCTCAACAGTGTATTTCAGTAGAATCTGCCTGTTCTGCTCCCCACTCTGGTGAATCATCTCACTCCCTCAACACATGCCTCTGGCCTACACCCCAATTCTTGTAATAATAGATAAATAAATCTTTAAATAAATAATGAAGATAAAGCATCCACTTCCTGAAATAATTCTTCTTAAAGTAGTATACACTAATAACTATCATAAACATCTTATTATGTGTTTTTAAATACTTCTCTAAATGTATTACAGCATGCCATCAAACCCATCCCTGAAATTACACTCCTCTCAAAGAACTATGCATATGCAGCTCTTTAAAGTATTCTTGTTATGTGTGTTTCAAAATAATTCCCTAAATATAATACAGAAGAGTTATCTCAACCATTCACTGAAATAACACTCCTTTCAAAGTAACTTGCAGTAAACACTTAGTATCCCTAATGAGACATGTTTTAAATATTCTTCTCTAAGTGTTTACACTTTGTAGCATATATAACTCTCATTTTTAAAATGAAGGTAAGAAAGTAGATGGCAAGTAAGCATATGAAAAAATGTTCAATATCATTTTTCATTACAGAATTGCAAATTACAATGAGATGCTGTTACAAGAATAGCTAAAATTAAAAATATGTATAGTTAACAAATGCTAGCAAATATATGGTATAATAAGAACTCTTGTAGTAAGAATTAAAAATGGTGCTTCTTTTTAAAGCTTTATTTATGCATACAAGAACTGGGGTACAGACCAGAGGTGTGGGGGGTTGGGGGAATAAGAGGATCCACCAGAGACAGAATGGGGAGAAAAACAGGCAGACTGGCTGAAATATACTGCTGAGGGGAGCAGCAGGTAGGTCAGAAGAGGTCTGCCGCGCCATGTGGTTCAGCAACCTGGCCGGGGATGGAACTCATGCTGCAGTGGCTGTGGGTAACTTCAAAGTGCTGTGCTTTAAACCCTTGTGCCATACGTGGTCATATCCTCAGTCCGGGGATCCAACTCAGGCCGTAGTAGTGATAAGGCTGAGACATTAGCCCCGAGGCCACCAGGGAGACCCCTAGTACAATTTCTTACAAAGTAATTTATGAAATAATATGCTCTTATATGACACAGTAATTTTGCTCCTAGGCATTTACCCAATAAATTTGAAAACTTACGTCCACACACACACACAAATGCCTGCAAATACTTTTAGCAGTTTTATTCTTAATCATGAAAACTTGGTAGCCTTCAAAAAATGGATAAGCAAACTATGGTACATCTATAGAATAAACTATTTAACAATAAAAGAAAAGAGCTATTAAGCCACAAGAAGATATAGAAGTAACTTTAAGTGTATAGTCCTATGATAGAAATCAGTCTGGAAAAAAAACTATGTACTGGATTATTCCAATTAAATAACATTCTTGAAAAGTCAAGACTATATAGTCATTAAATAATCATTGCTTGCCAGGGCTTGGGGAAGAGAGAAAGGATGAATACATGAAATATAGGGAACTTTTAAGATGGAAAACTCTTCTGTATGGTACTATAACGGTGGAGACATGACAATATAGATTTGTGAAACCCAACAGGGTATTACAGAACAAGGAGCAAATCTTAATGTATGCAAATTTGAAAATAACCATTTTGGAGGTCAGGGAATTCCAATAAAAATGCAGAATAAGAGAATTTCACTGTATTAGGAATGTATCATACAACTTTACTGAAAGGGATGAGGGAGATGTTGATGGTAACAGGAGATGTTACATAATAACTAGAAATGAATAGAGTCTTTAAGACTGATGGCAAAGGGAAAGTTTATGAAAAAGTTCCTTTCCATGGGTGTATAGGTTACTTATTTGATACCGCTTACACAAGTATAAGTTGTATAAGTATACAACTACCCAAATACATAATACTTGTATACAAGTATAATTCCAGTATATTGGAATTGAACAATTAAGTGAATGGATAGAATTTACAGATAAGGAAGGTAAGGAAGCTGTAATGATTCATGTGAAAATGGATTCGAGTTAGAGATATTAATAAGATCTCATATTTACCTTAATGTTTATACACATAATCATTTATAGATATGTATGTATTCATGAATTAGTACATACATAATTTTTGGCTCTGTCAAATGAGAGGGCCCAACAAAAGTAATCCCCCAATAGCAGTGAGCACACCTGGCAGCCAGACCTTAGTTTGAATACTATTCTCCAATAAAAAAGAAACCAGAAATCCTTGCAGAAATGGTGTGATGCAGGATGGAAGCAGGAAATTATCATGATGAACTTGAGGTATTTTGTAGTACCAGAAAATAAAGAAGTACAGAAAAGAGAGAAAGAGAGAAAGCAAGAGGGAGAGAGAGTAATGTACAGTAATGGGGGAAAGAAGAAAATACAACTCTTGTATATATGAGAACTTCAAAGATTTTTTAGTCACTCCAACCTAAAGGAGGGGGAGCATAACTCCCCACACCTTAAATGTGGGCTTTAAATATAGACTTCCTTTTAAATAATGCAGTCTGGAAAATTAGTGAAAAGAGTAACTTCTCAGTGGGGAAACCTTTTATGCATTACGTTAAGTCAGGTGTTCAAGGTCTACATCACTCATGAGTTATTTGATAATATACCTTGATAAGGTATGAAGACAAAATGGTACTTTACCTGTGTGGTTTGGATTTGTTTTCTTCCTAAACTATAACCCTAGAATAAACACAATAGAAACATCAGGCAAATTTCAAGAGGTGAATCTTACAATATACCTGACTGGAGCTTCTCAAACTGTCAGGGATATCAAGAATGCAAGGAAATGTCTGAGACAAAGTGTTACACCTAATAAGGACTAAAGAGACATGAGAACTAAATGTAATTCCAGTAACTTGGATGGGGTCCTGAAAGAGAAAATGGACATTAGGTAAAAATAAAGAGATATGAATAAATTATGGATGTTAGTTAATAATGTATCACTATTGGTTTGTTATGACAAGTGTATCATTTAAAAAATATGTATTTATGCATAAAAGAAGTGGGGGTACAGATCAGAGCTGTCAGGGGTGGGGGTGAGAGGATTCATGTGGATTCACTGAAATACACTGCTAAAGAGAGCAGCAGGTGAGATGGGAGAGGTCTGCTGCACCACATGTGGGTCAGCTCCCTGATCTTGGATCAAAGTCAGGCCTTTGTGATGATAACACTGCCACCATATCAACCTTTTTAAAAAAATTTTATTTATGAATACAAGATATGGGGTGTAGATCAGAGGTGCAGTGCATGAGAGGATTCACCCAGAGACAGTGGGGAGCAGAACAGGTGGACAGACTGAAACACACTGCTGAGGGGAGCAGTGGGCAAGACAGGAGAGGTCTGTTGTGCCACGTGGGTCAGCTTCCTGACTAGGGATCAAACCTATACTATAGTAGCTGCTGACAGCTTCATAATGGTGAGACTTAGTCACCAGGGAGGCCCCCCCCAAATGTATCATTCTTATGTAAGATAATAGGAGTAACAATGAGAAGATATATGGCATTATTTTCTCAGTTTTTTTCCTCTAAATCTACAGGAAGCAAAAATAGAATTAAAGTGAGAAAAAGAAAACTCAACAATAATAGCTGGAGAGTTCAATATCCCACTCTCAAAAGTAGATAGAACAACTGGAAAAAAAATCAGTGAAGATTTATATAGAAAACTAGAATAGCAACATATCAACATACCATCTATACCATCCCTCAAGGGGAGAAAACATTTTCTTTTCAAGCAAACATGAAATATCCTCCATGATAGACCATCTGCCAGACTGCTAGACTATAAACAAGTACTAGTAAACACAAAAGAATGTAAAGAATACAAAGTATGTCCCAATTGCAATGGGATAGATTATATGTAATTTCTTACTGGTTCTGCTTCTCTGATTGAACCCCAACTAACATACATTCTTTTTTTAAAAATAATTTATTTATATTTTACATTATTGCTCATTTTTTTTTTTTTTTACAATGTTTGCTTTCTTTTCTCAGGTGTAGTTCCCATAGAATCCCCACCATCGGGCCCTCCCTTGTGGTGCAATGGGCTAAAGCACAGGACTGTAAAGCTATTGCAGCCACTGCAGCACAAGTTTGATCCCCAGCTAAGGGGGTGACCCACATGGTGTGGCAGACCTCTCCTTACCTGCCGGCTGCTCCTCTCAGCAGTGTACTTTGTCCATCTGCCTGTTCTGCTCCCCACTCTGTCTCCAGTGAATCCTCTCACCCCCCACACCACTGGCCTGTACCCCATTTCTGTATGCATAAATTAATAAGCCTTTAAATAAAAAAGAATCCCCAGCACCAGTTCACCGGTGTATCATCACAATAATCCCCTGTGCTCTTCTCACCCATCTTGATTCTTTTCCCTTCCCATCCCCTGCAGAATGTCTCTGATTTATAGTTGGCTATTAATGTTGTTTTGTTTTTTATTGTTATTATCTTTTACCCCATCCCTTATTTGGCCCCCCTATATTCCTTTTATAAGTGAAACCATCCGATATTTTTCTTTTTCCTTCTGACTTATTTCATTGAGCATAATCTCTCATAATCCCTTCTAGCTCCATGAATATTCGTCTAGGGCTGGGGAGTGGGAGGTATGAGGACTGACTGCCAGTGGGCATCGAGGATCTTTTGGGCTGGCAGAAATATTCTAAAATTGGATGGTAGTGATAGTTGCACAGCTTTAGATTTACTCAAAATTCAAAGCTGTTGAATTGTACCCTTAATATGGGTAAATTTTATAGTATGTAAATTCTACCTCAACAAAGTCACTTTTTTGAAAAAGTCAAATTTATTTCCAATTTCTTAATGCAACTTACTTATTTTTCTCTTATATTTTCTCTTTTCTTCAATCAGAGATTTACTAATTCCAGTCAGTATTGTGACATTGCCCTCAATAGCTTTGAATGTCTCTGGTAGAATCTCCATTTGTGCTACGCAGTGGTGGTATTCTTCAATATCAATTGCAGTCATCTCAGACAAAAGGATATCTTGATGAGAGGGGAAAAATTACTTTTGAGTGGAAAAATAAATATAACTGCATAGGCTTATAATATTAACTAAATGCTCAATATTGGACTCAATCCTCAAAATTGGAATCTCATACTTATTGCTGTTCCAAGGCTTTTCTCCTTGAAGAAGTGAAAAGGGGAGAGACTTGGAATACAAAGCTAAATAGTAAGCCTTGGACATAAAATCAGATTAACAGGTGTCTATCTAAGCAAGATAGACCAAGAAGTATGGGAATATGGAAATGAGTTTCAATATTGGGGCTGTAACTCCCCTGGTAAGTTATGTGATATTTTATAATCCCTGTTTCATGCGCTTTCTTACAGCTAAGTGAAATTCCTCTTTTTCATATTCTTAGCTTATTCTTTCATTCCATTGTCTCCTCTGACATGCGCTGTTAGATACCGAGGGTACAAATATTTAATAAAACAAATTCCCTGACTTCATAATGTTTAGATTCTAGTGGTAAGAAATTTTATAGGCAAAATAAAGAAGAGTAAAGAATAATGGACAATGTTGTAGATTAGAGAACAGGGACAGTCAGAGAACAGTTCATTTGAAAGTGTTGTAAGCATTGAGTAAGCCATGTGGTAGCCCAGTAGAAAATGTTCCAGGCCAGGGAATAGAAAGCATGAAAGTACGGGGCATGTGAGTATGCTGACACACTTAAAGACCAGAATAGCTGGCACTGTATGAGAAAGCCTATATTTTTCTTATTTTACTCTTACAGGAGTAGAGAAAACCTATTCTCTAAACACCCTCCTTAGTCTTTTTAGTCTTTAGTGTAATCCTTCAAATTTTACTTAAAGATTTTTTTCACTAGCTTAATTTTGTGGTTTTCCTTTGAACCACTTCTGGAAACTTACTCCATTCTTCCAACCAGGCCAGGATAGAAACAAGAGTCTTTTCTTTCACTTCAGCAGACTTAATACAGTTAACTATTTTTTCTAGGAAAGTGTTTCTGCGTCTTTTGTGTTCTGTAATGGAGATTTTCCTTCCAGAGTATATGTTCTCACCAACAGTGTAGCGATTTATTATCCGTTGCACATTGTTCATTATTTCATTCACTTTCATATTAATGTCCTGAAGATAAGAAGGGAAAATAGATTAGTATACTCTGCGCCTGAGAGTAAGCTTTGGTCACCTTCCCAGCATGTTAGCAACAGTTCTACATAGCTGTCCAATCAAAGTCCTGCTAATTCTAGTCTTATGTGGATGTCAGATTTCCCCTAAAAATGTCTCCCCCTTACCTTCATCATCCTAGAGTTGCTACTATTTAAGGGAAAAAAAGGGATTTGAAAACTATATCTGCATCCCAAATGGAGCTCTTTTGTTAACATGATTTTATTCATGTTAACTTCACTCTGAACTGCTTGTACATTATCTGTAAAATAGTGGACATACTAAATTCAAAAGTGATGTGAGATACATAGCATATATGAAAGCACCTTACAAACCATGCTGCTATAAATAAGTTAGTTACTTAATAGTAGATGTTGCTTCTACATTCTTTCTCTACCTTCACCTCATTTTCTGCTTTCTTCAGGAATCCCTTAAGGGGAGTCAACATAATTTTAGAGAGATGATGTTTATGTATTTATTTGTTTGTTTATAAAGATTTATTTATTTATGCATACAGAACTGGGGTACAGGCCAGAGATGCAGGGGGCGGCGAGAGGCTTCACCAGAGACAGAGTGGGGAGCAGAATAGGCAGATCAACGAAATACACTGCTGAGGGGCGCAGCACACCAGTGAGGAGAGGTCTGCCGCCCATGGGGATCACTGGGCAGGGGTGGAGCTCAGCACTCAGGGGCTGCCCAGCTTGCAGTGCTGCTCTTGAAGCCGTTGGGCCACCAGGGAGGACCGAGAAATGAGATTTACTAAGACTATTTTAACACCCGATAATGTTTAACTAATCTGCAAGCGTACCTTTTTGAGAGCGATTATTAAACAACTAATTAAATAAATACACACAGATGTGAAAGGAGGAAATAAAACTTGCTTCTACTAACACACGACCAGATTATATATGTAGAAAATCTCAAAGGATGTATAAAGAAAATCTGTGAGAACTAATAACTGGATTTCAGGACACAAAAGCAACATAGAAAAAATCTGTTGTATTCCTACCTATTTGTTGTGAAAAACTGAGAACAGAAATTAAAAGACAGCACTATTCAGGATAGTATAAAAATATGAACTACTTAGGGATAAATCTGATAAAAGATATGCAGGACCTATACACTGAAAACTGCAAAGCCTTTCTGAGAAATATTGGATCTAAATATGTGAGAGAGCCCTGTTTTAAGGGGTCAGAGATTTAACATTATTAAGATTTCCATTCTTCAAAATTTATCTATTAAATTCAATACAGTCTCAACCAAGACACCAGCAGGTTTTTTTTTTTCCCCCCTCTCAGAAATTGACATACTGATGTTAATTTTCATGTGGAAATGCAGAGGGAGAAATCAGATTGGATAAAGACTTGTTTTTAGGTTATGAATGTTTTGAGTGTGTCCTTTCAGAGAAAGAAACCCAAAAAGAGTAAAAGATGGTAAAAGGAAGATATGAAAGAAGTCACAATAGTGAAAGTAAAATTTAAGAACTAAAACTATGTATTTAAAGAATTATTGTACAACCTCAGTAATTAAAGACACTGACATTGGCCAAAAGATAGACAAATAGATCAAGAGAACAGATTAGAGGGTTCATTAACTCTCACACATATGTTTAACTGATTTTCAATAAAGATGCAAATGCAATTCAATGAAGAGAGGATTGTTTTTTCAACAAATGGACCTAGAATCATTGGGCGGGGGAGGAGGAGAGGAAAAGATACATATATGATATAATAGAAGCAAAACCTTTTATCATGCAAATGGATCAGAAACATAAATGTAAAAGAATATATAGGAGAAAATGTTTGTGAACATGAAAAGTTTACTTATAAACCACACTAAAAAAATCATGAAAGAAAATATTGATACATTGAATTTAGGAATTATGTTCTTTGAAAGATACTTAATAGAAGAAGAAAAGTCACAGAATGAGGGAAAATGTAATTTATCAAGGGAATTGTATTTAGAATTGTATTTAAACCTGAATAACACAGATCACTTATTATGGGAAAAATAGGCTCATAGAAAGTTGTCCCAAATCATTAGTTATAAAGAAAGCATAAGTTAAAACCACAGTGAGATACCACTATATATCTCTTAGAATGGTTAATACTAAAAAGACTGACAGTATCCAGTGCTGGTAAAGATGCAGAGCAGTTAACCTCATTTACTACTTGTAGAAATATAAATAGTATAACTGATTTGAAAAAGTTTGGTGACTTGACTATATGTTGGGGGCCAGCTGGGTGGTGCAAGATGTTCAGTCTCAGCACTATGAAACTATCCACAGCCACTGCACCATGAGTTTGATCCCTGGCCAGGGAGGTGACCCTCATGGCGTGACAGACCTCTCCTGACCCATCTGCTGCTCCCTTCAGCAGTGTATTTCAGTCCATTTTCAGCCTGTTTTTACATCTTCAGTGTATTTTCAGCCTGTTCAACTCCCCTCTCTGTCTTTGATGAATCTTCTCACCCCTTTCCCCATACTTCTGGCCTATATCCCAGCTCTTATATGCATAAATAAATAAAACTTAAAAAAAATTGAACATATGCTTACCTCATTACCCTACCATTTCAAACCTATCTACCCAAAAGGATAAGTCACTAATAAGTACAGACATATTGATAGTTTAATTTGTAATAAGTTCAAACCTGAAACAACTCAAAAGGCTGTGCCATAAAAAAAATACTTAGAAGTAAAAAGGAATGGACTATTTATATATGAAGGAATATAACTGAACCTCAAAATATGCTAAGTGAGAGGAGAGGGGAGAAAAAGGTAGCTACTGTATGATTTTGCATATATAAAATTCTTTGAAAATGCAAAATAGGCAACAGTGTAGAAGCAAATTGGTGGTTGCCTGAGGGTGGGTCAGGGCTAGGGAAGGATATGTTAAAGGGAATGAGGGAATGTAACATGAAGAAACTTTTGGGGGTGATGGGTAAATTCATTGTGTTGATTGTGATGAAGGCCTCATGGGTATTTATAATTATTTTTTAAATGAGTATCTCTTTATTTTTATATTTGCCTAAAAGAATTGGAGTATAGGACAGAGGTTCAGGAGGTGAGAGGATTCACTAGAGACAGAATGCGGAGCAGAACAGGTAGATTCCCTGAAATGTACTGCTGAAGAGAGCAGTAGGCGAGACAGGAGAGATCTTCTGTGCCATATGTGAATTAGCTCCTTGGAGGGTGTAGTTAGTGGGCATCAAATTCAGGCCATCCTGGTGACAGCACTGAGACTTAACCCCTGGATCTTTCATGGGTGTTTATATCTAAATTTGTATACTTTAATCATACAGTTTATTATATGTCAATTATCCTGCAGTAAAGCTGTTAAAACCACACACTGTGTTATTGGTACTAGTTTCTAAACAGCTCAGAGATGGATCTATGCAGAGAACAAGAAAGGACCAGTGGTTACACATGGGAAAGAATTTTCCCGATTTAATTTCTTGTTCACCTGAGTAATTTTGTTGTCTTCTGTCTGAGAGAATAGAATGAATGCAGTATAGTCTTATTGTTTGGGATCTATTTGATTGTTATATTAGTTAACTTCTCTATTTATTATTTTTGGCTTTCTCTTAACCAAAAAACCATCTAATAGCTCTCTGACAAAAGCTCAGTCAAGGCCCTCCCTGGTGGTGCAGCAGGTTAAAGCACAGCACTAAGAAGCTAAAGCCACTTCCGCATGAGTTCAATTCCCACCTGCCCTGGAGATGACCACATGGCGTGCAGACCTCTCCTGGCCCGCCCGCTGCTCCCCTCAGCAGTGTACTTCGTCCATCTGCCTGTTCTGCTCCCATTCTGTCTCTGGTGAATCCTCTTGCCACCCCTGAGCCTCTGGCCTGTACCCCAGTTCTGTATGCACAAATAAATAAATCTTTAAAAAAAAAAACTCAGATAAGAACTATTGGCTAAAATTTGATTTTCAGTATTAGCTGTAATTTCCTTTTTATCGTGATCATTCAGTAGTACATGTTAATTTAGTTCTTAAAATGCTAAGAGATTAATATAGAATTGGATCTTGTTATAGAGGGTGACATTACATTTTTTTTTAAGATTTATTTATTTATGCATACAGAACTGGGGTACAGGCCAGAGGTGCAGGGGCGGCGAGAGGCTTCACCAGAGAGAGTGGGAAGCAGAACAGGCAGATCTACGAAGTACACTGCTGAAGGGAGCAGTGGGCAGGTCAGGAGAGGTCTGCCACACCATGTGGTCTCCTCTGGGGCAGGCGGGTCGAACTCATGCTGAAGTGGCTTTAGCTTCTCAGTGCTGTGCTTTAACCCGCTGCACCACCAGGGAAGGCCGACATTACATTTTTTAAAAAAGATTTATTTTATTTGTTTATACATACAAGAGCTGTGCTATAGGCTAGAGGTGCCGGGCGGGAGGGGGGATAAGGGGTGGTGGTGAGAGACAGAGCAGAACAGGCAGATCTATTGAAATACACTGCTGAGGGGAGCAGTGGGCAAAACAGGAGAGGTCTGCTGCACCACATGGGTCAGTTGCCTGGCCGGGGATGAAACTGCTGCTGCAGTGGCTGCTGATAGGTTCATAGTGCTGACTTAATCCCTTGTGCCACCAGAAGGGCCCCTGACATTGTATTTATATAGGAAGGTCCCTACCACAAGGAATGTTCAGGATTTAAGGACAAAATTTGCTATTCCCATGGGCTGGTAAGCAAATTTAAAAACCTGATGAGTCTAGTCCCGGACTAGACTTACTGCCATGTATTTCCTGAGCTTACAGGGTTTCTTTTCTTTCTTTCTTTTTTTTAAACCATTTCTGAGTTATCATTCCATAGCTTATCAAATCATCTGCTATTGGAAGAAAAGGGAGTTACAGACCTAGAAAAAAGTCACAGACCTTGAGACCAGACCAATTTAGACTGGAGCTTTAGGGACACAACCTTCGTGATTTGTTCATTCAGGAACCCTGCACAATCCCCGAGTTGAAGCTGACTTGTGCCCACAATCAGCACTAATAAATGTACTTTAGCCAAGTCCACTTTCCTTGCTTTCTCAGTGAATACAGTTCAGTTTCTTTGTTTCCAAATGCCATTCCTAAAGACCTTGGCCGTGACACCTCAGGGAATTGCACATCCAGAGAAATCTCCTTGGAGTTCTCTTTTGCTCCTCAACAAATGCCTACCCTCATTGGTGTCTGTGAGACCTCTTTCATCTTGACCAGGCAGTCTCAAAAGCCCTCTCGGCCTTGGGAGCCGAGTCCCTCAGTCCAGACCACCTCCAGCTGTGCAGGCAGGTGGTTCTTCCCCAGTGTATGTACCTGTGTTGTGGTAAGGTGGGTCAGACTGAGGGGCCTCAGATCCACTCCTCTGTGCAGTGGTAGTATAAAGACAGTTACCTCAAACACAAATATTATGAAAATCACCAAGAGTTAAAAAAATGTTGCAATATGTAAGCTTCTCAGATACTACCTACCTCGCTTATTCTACGTTGCTGGGCCTGCTGAATCCTACGAATGACCTCCTGTACTGAAAATGGGGTTTCAAGGTTAGGGGTCACAAAATTATCAAGGGTTTTTCTGGACGGTTTTGTCATGATGGTAAAATCTGCACGTTTTTCTGGTTCAGAGTCATCACCTTTCTCATCTTGCTTTTTGGTAAACATTTTGAAAAGTTGAATGATTTTATTTCTTCTTTTTTCACAAAATATAGGCAAATGCTAATAAAGGTATCCACAAGGAAGCTGGGAGAGGCATTTCCTGCTCCCAGAGATTATGGTTTACCTTGCCACAAAGCAGTTACTAACCATGGTATTCCAGTCCTGGTGATGTCACACTAGATCCACTGTGACATTATCACTGATGCAAACATTAAAGAGTGCTTACTGCAGGCAGAGAATAGGCATTCCATATGCTGTGATGGTAGGGGGTGACGTGGGGAGGGGAGTAAGGAGGGTAGAAAAGAATAGACAACAGAAACGCTAAATGAAATAGAAGACATAGCCCCGCTTAAATGAGCTTGAAGTCTAGGTGTTAGAATTCAAGATGCACTATATCAAAAGTAACTCCTGGTTCTTTTCTATTCCTGAGGTTTTGCTTAAGATTTTTTAAGGCTGTAATGGAATAATTGTGTACAATTTCTTCATCTGCCTTTCAACTTTTTCTAGACATGTGGTAACTTGGAAGATATTATTTGGATGAAGACCATACTGTTTGCACAGCTTAGTTGGTTTTATTTTCAAGGAACCCATACTGCAGAAAGCTCGAAGTCCCATAGTTGACTCATGAAGTTGAAGGGAATGCTAGCAGCCACTTTCTAACTGAAAGACTAGTACTTTGAATTCAGAGGAGGGGATATGATTTTGCAGACTGGAGCAATTAAAGGACAGGGTGATGACTTTGTAGCTCTTCTGATTCAAAAAATATGAAAAGAATAGAAATTAATATAACAAGTAGCCGTGTGCCTATCATCTACACTGAACAAATATTAACACTGTCATATTTGCTTCAGATATTTTTAAATGAAAGAAAGTGTTACAGACAAAGTTGAAGGTGAAGTTGAAGACTGTCCCTTTTTGGAGGCAATGACAATTATGAATTTGATATGTTTAGGACTTGTCTATGTTTAAATGGTTATGTTACAGGTGTATGTATTAATAAACTATACAATATCATTGTGGGATTTTGAGTTTATACAAATTATGGATGTATAACAATTTTGCTACAAGAACTTCCTATGTCCAATCTTTATTATAAGGACTTACAATTTATTGTTGTAAGCTTGTAAACAATTTGTGTTCCAGAGAAAGGGAGGAACAGAATTATGCAATTGCCGCCTTTTAAAAATATTAATCACTATATGAATTAATACGTAGAGAGCAAATTAAAAATATTCCTTTACTATATGATCCTGTTGTCTAAGTTTCTTCCTTCTCTGGTTCCCAGATCACTTTATAAACTGTCAATTACAGTTTTTATCTCATTGAAGTGTAACTATTATTTGTCTTTATCCACTAGTTAATGAACTTCTCAAAACATATGCTATATGTTAACTTTTCTTTTTCTACCATTTAGTATATTCTTTTACTGTTCCTTCACAGAAAATAAAATTTGGATATATTGTAATTTCAGACTTATCTCCTTATGGAAACTTTCCTAAGTCCCAGAGTACTTTTACTGTTAGACTGCTCACCACCCCAACACCTCCATTAAAAATATTACTACCTCCTTTTCATGAAATAATAATTAAGTCTATTAATTCAAGGAAGTTTATAGTGTTTCTTACTGAACCACAGTTAAAAAGAATTATTAATGTGAGATTTGATTAAAATCCATTATTATCCTGCATTTCTTGATGCTATCAATTAATCTACTTAAGAACTTTGCTGACATTAGATTGTCAACTTTTATCTTGCTTAACTTAAGCAACTTTTATCCCTTTTTATTTTCTAACATTGCTTATCTCAGTAGGTATTTACTACAAAGCAGTCTAAATGCATGACAACTAAACTAATTAGCATTACTGTGCTCTCTCTCTCTCTCTCTGTGTTTTTATGCAGCATGGAATTGCATCAGAATGATGAATGAAGGCTTTTTGAAGCAAAATTAAAATCTCTCTATTTCTATTTGACAAGCATTTGCTGAGACTCCACTATGTGGCTACCATAATCCTAGACTGCGAAGAATACATGATAGGGTGTCCGTGAAGAAACTTAAATAAACAAAAAAATAAATAAAGACTATAATAATCAAGTGCTAAAAAGGGACATGAGAAAGAGATCTATGGAGAGCAGAGTATTTGGAGAATCCTATGGAAAGGAAAGGTTGATTGACAAATGAAGGCATTCCAGACAGGGAAGACAATTTGAAGCATGGCTTTGGAGGTGAGTGCTGAGATTGTATTTCAGGGGGAAAGTGGGGAGATTGGTTTAATTAAGATGAAATTGAATTTTCTAGGGAACAGATTAGGGAGATTTTGGGACATGAATATCAGCAACGTGATGAGGGAACTAATTTGATATCTAAAAGAAAATCTGTGTAAAATAAGTGAGATTACATAGGATCAGAATACTAAGATTTTGAAAATAAGTAAGAGTCGCTTGGTGAAAATCAAATCTCTCCAATTTAGTAAATTTTAAAATAGAATGGAATATGATGGAAGAGAAAATACCTATTGGAAAAAAATGAAGACATGTTATTTCAAAAGATAAGTGAACTGGGATATAGAAGAGGGAGGGACAAAATATATCCCGTGTATTGCTAAACATAATTTGGAATTTGTACCATTTAACAGAAAATGATAGTAAAAATATTTATTATATTTCACTTGAATTGATGGCAGAAGATCAATGAAGAGGCTATTCATACTAAGTATTAAGTAGTAGTAGTAGTAGTAGTAGCAGCAGCAGCAGCAGCGGAGATGTGATTACCTGATTTGAACTGACCTTGGGCAAAGTTCTTTAAAGGTGTGTCTGAGGGAAGGTGTGACATCAAAGTTCTTTAAAGGTGTGTCTAAGCCTCCCCAGACCACTCAGCTTAACATGGGGATAATATATTTATTGCATAGGATTGTCTTAAGATTAATTCACGGAAATACAGCAGGTGCTTTTCTCGCACTTATTATAGCGGCTTTTCCCTCTTCTTTGAGAGTCAACTTTTCATCAAGATTGGGCGTTTAGTCAACGCGTTTCTCACAAGCTCAGCACTTTTATTAGATCAAGATACTGAGCTCTGAAAACTGCAGAATTATTATGCTTGGGATCGATACTGGTTTGGCAAGGGATAAAATGCGTAAGCTTTTCACACACCCCCGTGGCACAGAATGGTGCCTTCTGTGATCCCCCTGCCCCCCGGGGAGATGATAGTACATTCCACACTGCCGCTGGAGAAGGGAATGCAAAAGTCGGGCTACCGAAGGTTTTCTCCTCTCCCGGAAGCAATTGTTCTGTAGAACCGGAAACAGTTGCTGGTTCGAGGGAGGTGGGACTGGGCGGGTCAGGCCACAGCGGCTGACGGCAGGGGAGGAGCCGGGTCCACTGCCGGGTGGAGGGGCCAGGCGAGTGTCCTTATCCTAGCCATCGGGGCTCGGGCCTGGAAGCCAGTTGGAGTCGCGGCGGCGAGAACGACTGGGCCGAGCGGAGGAAGACATGTTGCTCTTCGTGGAGGTGAGTGGACTTGGCCATCTCGACCGGCTCTGAGGAGAGCTGGCGTGTGGAGGCGCCGGCTGGTCCCACCGCCATGTGACTTTCCAGGCCGTACACGCCGCGGAACCGGCGGCCAGGCTGACACAGCACCTGGGCCGAGAGGCCCGCGTCGGCGTCCCGCGAGCGCCCCGCACCCTCGGCGGCGGCGGGAGGCGAGGGCCGCCGCGTGAGGGCAATGAGCGGGGGGGTCGACCGCGGCTTGGCCGGGTCGCGTGGGGCTGAGGAAGGGAAAGCGTTCCATATGGACCTCCTAAAGAAGGCTGCCCCGCGGGGGCGGGGTGGGCGGAGCCTGCGGGAGAAAGGGGCTATCAGGTGGACGCGCTCCGGGGGCGAGCGAGGCCTCGCGGGGCCCTCTGGGAGGGAGCCCAGCAACATGTGGGGCCGCCCGCGAGGAAGGGAGATGGGCCGGCGCCTCCGGACGGGAAAGTTGGTGGCCGATTTCGAGCCACCCCCACCAGATTCCGTTCGGTCCCGGTCTCTAGCTCTCTGGAACGTTCTGTGCGCGGAGAGGCCAGTAGGGTTTGGAAGCCTTGAAAGGCACCTCTTTGACCTTTTGTAAAAGTTACTCGGGCCAGGGCCGGGTGAAGAGCGGTTGATTTTATGAACTGATACAGGACCTTGACCAGAGAGATTCCAAGAAGGAGAGAAAATTACTCCGAGGAAAGTCTTTTGATAGTCACTTGAACAATAGAAAATAATTGCAGCGTCTGCTGCTGGCCTATTTTACCCTTAAGGGCAGTGGATACCTGCCTTACGCAGATAGAGGTTTGATTTCTCGTTATTTCTGTCTTTTTCCTTGTGTGCACTGGGCATCAGCTGACTGCCTGGCTAATGCTTTGAATAGATTCCAGATCATATTGTTCTTGCATTGTGAAAACGTCAAACCAGCAAAACGGCAACTTTGCGCTTTGGCACTTGTTAACTGTGCCCGTGAAAAAGAATCTTTTCAATGAGGGAAGGACTTTACAGGTTGTAGAATGGGTTGGGGAGACAGGTCCCGTCTGTGGACCCTGTTTTTTGTCGGAGGGAGGGAGGGATGAAACTTGTTCCGTAATATAGCGGCGTAAAGTCACCCCCCTCCCCCCGCCCCCAGTCCCTCCATCTAGGCAACAAAGTGTAGCTGGTAAATTTGAGTTGTTGAAGTCAGTTTTAGAAAACAGCTACTTTCGAATATGCAACATTGATGATAAACATTGAATCATGATTTTAAGTTATGCTGTTTACTGTGTTTATCCTCAGTTTTCCTTCAGCAGAATAAGAAATAAGATAATTTTAAGCAGTGCCAGTTGTTTCGGGAATGCCAAACTATGCAAATTCTGTAGGTTGTGTTCCTGTGTTTTGCCGGGCGAAAGAAAGAACTGCGAATCTGAAGTCAACATGAATTCCAAAATAAACTTCTGAGTTTCAAATTGTTTCCTTTGGCATTGTTAAAATGTTAGTTTTAAAAATAGCTCCATTTATTGCGTGTTAAAGCTAAATGCTCACTTGTTTCTAAAACATGGAAATAGTTTGCAGATGATCAAACTGACGTGGAGCCATTAAGAAATCAAAAGTAGTGGAATTGGGATTAAGATATAGGTCATTCGAATGTCAGTACCCGATTTAGTCTCTCTGTTCTATAAAATTAATATTTCCACGAATCATTTTCTTTCAGAATCAGTATGTATTTAAGATTTTTTCTCATATGATGAGTTTTTTTGAACTTTAAACATGTTAATGCGACTGAACTTGTGGTATTAATACCAATTAAAAAAAAAAACACTAGTCCCTTGGCATTTTTTTAACCAATATTTGCTCCCTATAACCTCAAAATACAGGAATTATTTTGAATGAGGGAACCAAAGCTCAGAAGTTTGATGTCTAAGGTCACCTGGGTGTAAATAATGTGAGGACTAAAGTCTGAAGTCTGGCTTTTAGAGCACAAGTCTCTGGCTCCAAATACTATTTTTTTGCCTTTTCTCCTAAGCTAAGGCTTCTCCTGGATAGAATTGAGAAAGTTGGTCAACTTGGCTAAGAAAAAAAGTGCATGTTTATTTTCACTACCTTCTAATTGAAATATAGAGTTGCATAGAATTGAAAATTCTATAAATTTCAGTGGCTGCAAGAGAAAACTTCATTACCTATTAGAATTTTTGAAGACACTTGAAATAATTGTTTATAATAATTACTTGTTACATCTAAGAAAAATCTTGTTATTTAATGTATTAGTAAAGTGGCACTTAACTATTAAATTAGAAACTTTAAAGGATATTTTGATAGCTATAATTGATTTATTTTGTGATACCCCTTTGCATTTTGTAAATTTAAAAATCATTATTCTGGATCTTCCTGGTGGCCCAGAGATTGTCTCAGCACTATCACCTCTGTAACCTGAGTTCAATTCCTGACACAGCAGACCTCTCCTGTCTTGCCCTAGCACCCCCCCACCCCCAAGCAGTGTATTTCAGTAAATCCTCCTGTTCTGCTCCCCACTCTGTCTCTGGTGAGGCCTCTCACCACCCACACCTCTGGCCTATACCCAGTTCTATGCAAAAATAAAATAAAGTTAAAAAATAAAAAATTCCGAGAAGAGATCCGTAGATTAATAGGACTATTAAAGAGTTCCATGGTAGGGGAAGTTAAGAACTATTTGACTAAACCCAGTTGCTTAATTATCATCTTGGAGAGGCTTTAGTAATCTGGCATCCATGAGTCCTCTGCGGGAATGCTGAAAGACTTGTGTGCATTTTTCTAGAGAAACCCTAGTTTAACTTTACAGTTTATACCTGGAGTTAGTGGGGTAAGTAACATTAATAATAACAATAGTACTACAATAGTGATTTACTCTTATATTGTGTCACACCAGTTAAGTGTTTTTGCATGTATATATGTCTACTAAAGGCAACCTGTGAGGCATGTAGCACTGTTTGTTAACTGTTTTGGAGATAAGGAAACTAAGGCAGAAAGAATTTAAGAAACTTGCCCAAGATCATACAGTTGGTCAGTGTTGAAGTCCAAATTAGAATTCTAAACTACCTAGTTATACCGCAGTAGAAAATTGCAGGCAGACAAGGAATCCTACCTACTCTGTTATCCTCAGTTGTAACTTTTTAACCTTTTAAGACAGTGGGGAGCTATATTCCCTAGTTTATAGGTTTGTTTTCTTGTCATCTATTTCCCCGGAGACACAAACAGTGTCTGGCTCTCTGCAAAGTAAAAATGTTACTATAATTCACAAACTTGTCAAACAGGTCTCAAACTATTTTCCAACAAATCTGTAAGTTTGAATCAGCAATGGCTTCCTTCTGCAGACTGACTACCCAGGAGACAGTTTGTGATTTTTTTCTTTTCTTCTTTGTGTGTGTGTGTGTGTGTGATAACCTCATTTTGTTCATTTTCATATCATTTTCCCTCATTGATAGTTTTAGTCAGTTTTGTCTGCTCCACAATAGTTTGGGGGTTTCTGTCTCTATTTGAGATTTTCCCTGAAAAATCTAATTGTACTAAAACCTCTTTGTTAGCTATGATGTTTGTGCACAATAGGATGCTATAGTAATTCTCATATAACTTTTAAAAATTAATCTTAATTGTAGTAAAATACACATACAATTCATCACCTAAACCATTTTTAAGTGTGCTTCATGGCATTGAAGTACAGTGTTGTGCAACTGTCACCACCATCCATCTCCAAAACTCTTTAT